TTACTTTAAAAAAAATAGGTAGGTACTAGTAAGATTAGGAATTCATATCCAAACTCTTCTAATTAATTGAAGTTTTTAATTTTAGAATTCAGGAATGCAAAACAAACAGGTATAGCTATTAAATAACATATTTTTAAAATTTTAATCCAAAAATAATCTCTGGACAGGGAATAAATGTAATAGTAAATTGATAGTTAAACCCCACAGTACCAAAAATTACACTAAAAAGAAATGGTTCAAACATTTCAAATTTAATGCTGGCCAAGTAGAAAACATGACCCAATTCGGAGCAAAAAGGGCAAGCCTAGCAGGCAAATTATAGATCTCAGACATACAGCAGAGAGCAGGGACAGAAGGGATCAAATAAAGAGATGAAAAAGCACAAGAGTCTATGGTGATGTTCGCAGCTAAGGTGGTGACAGGTTTATGGGGAATGCACCTGAAGGGAGAAATCAAATATTGTACAAAAATGAACAATGATGTAAGGAAATAAAAAAAAAAAAGACCCAATTACAGGCTGACTATAAGAACCTACTTTAAATCTAATGGTACAGACAGATTAAAACTAAGAAAATTGAAAATGCTAAAACATCTTAACAATAAAAATAAAATTTAAGTAGCTGTAAGATTACTGCATGTAGTAGATTTCAAAACAACATTAATACCAGCTATATAGAGGGAAATCATAATGGGAAAAAATAAGCTCATCCGAAAGACAGCAATCCTAAATGCTTATGTAACTAATGACAAAACTTCAAATACATGAATCAAACATAGACAAAAGTGAAATAGGAAACAGACAAATCCACATAGATACAGATGTTAACACTATCTCAGTAACTGAGAGAAGTAAATAAAAGTAATAATATAATGAGCTAACCACTCTAAATCATCTTGATGTATACAGAGCACAAGTGTGTGTGCGCGTGTGTACAGCTGACAGATATATCTATGTTACAGAGAGAGATCATATACTGGGTCATAAAACATTTCAACAAATTTAAAAGACTAAAACGGGCCCTCCCTGGTGGCACAACAGATTAAAGCACAGCAGTACAAAGCTAGTGGCAACTGCTTCAGCACAAGTTCAATGCCAGGCCAGGGAGGTGACCCACATGGAATGGCAGACTCTCCTGTCTCACCCACTGCTCCCCTCAGCAATGTACTTTGTCACTCTGCCTATTCTGCTCCCCACTCTGTTTCTGGTGAATCCTGTCACTGCCCCTGAGTCTTTGGCCTATACCCAGTTCTGTATGCATAAATAAATAAATCTTTAAAAAAGAAAAAGGACTAAAATGTTAACAACATATATTCTCTGACAAGAACATAAATAGATTTTAAAAAATGTTATCTGTAAAATCCTTAAAGATTTGAAAATAATGTCATAAACATCTAAATAACTCATTGATCAAAGGAGAGGTGCCAGGGGAATGAGGAAATATTTTGCATTCAATGATTTTAAAAAAACAAACACATAATTTGTCACAAAGCAGTGGTTATTTGGAAACTGGTAGTTTAAAATACTTTGAATAAAAAGAAATGTTTACAATCCATGATCTAAGCTACCTTAAGAAGACAGAAGACAGATGAATCCCCAAATAAGTAAATTAAAGTAACAGAAACTTAAAATAAATAAATAAATAAAAGGTTCTTAGTGGGCTCTCCCTGGTGGCACAACAGGTTAAAGCACTGCATTTTGAAACTCTCCATAGCCATTGCAGCACAAGTTTGTTCCCGGCCAGGGAGCTGACCCACATGGTGTGGCAGACCTCTCCTGACCCGCCTGCTGCTATCCTCAGCAGTGTACTTTGTCAATCTGCCTATTCTGCTCCCCACTCTGTCTCTGGTGAATCTTCTCACAGCCCCTGCATCTCTGGTCTGTACCCCAGTTCTGTATGCATAAATAAATAAATCTTTTAAAAAAACAAAAAAGAAAGCAAGGAGGGAAAATGATCAGTACCACTACTGATCCTACAGATAGTAAAAGAATAAGTATATATTACAAATCATGCTAGATGCCAATACATTTAAATACTGATATGAATGAATTACCAAAATCAACTCTAGGGGCAGGAAATCTGAATAGCTCTGTATCTAATTTAAAAAATGAATTAGCCTGAGATGGAAAAATGCACAAAAATATGTAAAAATAAACTAATATAAAAAAATGAATTAGCAATTTAAGAACTTTCAATAAAGAATGCTGTAGGCCCAGACAATTAATTATAAAATTAATTATAAAATTTGACAACTTCATAAAACAGAAATGAAGGGAGCACTACCTTGTTCTTTGTAAGAAATCTGCACTATCCTCAATCAAAACCAAAAAAAAAATACTATGCCAATAAAACTACAAATGCCACGCAAGCCAGCTACTGCCACCCCAAAACATTTTGAACTGATACTTCAAAAAGAGTGCCAAGAAGCACATAAAAAGAGGCACAACATCACTAGTTATCCAAATATACTAACTCAAATAAAAAATGAACAAATAACAGATATATTCAAAAACATGGATGATTACAAAAGAAAATACTGAGCAAAAGAAGATATGCATACCAAAGAAGATAAGGATTCCATTTATAAGATGCTATTTATAAGAAGTAGAGTTTATTGTGAAATAAAACAGATTGGTAAATGTGCAGGATCAGTGTTGGGCACTGGGAGTGAAGTGGACTGCAAAGGAAATGAGGGATTTTTTTGAAAGGTGGGGTGACAAAAATATTTAATTCTCCTTGGGGTAGTAATTAAACAGATGTATGCATTTACTTAAAACTCAAGCTAAATGTTAAATGTGTGGTTTCTATGTGTAAACGAAGTTGATTTAAAAAGTAAATGAGAGGCCCTCCCTGGTGGTGCAGCGGGTTAAAGCACTGCACTGAGAAGCTGAAGCCACTTCCGCATGAGTTCGATTCCCGCCTGCCCTGGAGGAGACCACATGGCGTGGCAGACCTCTCCTGACCCGCCCGCTGCTCCCCTCAGCAGTGTACTTCGTCGATCTGCCTGTTCTGCTCCCCACTCTGTCTCTGGTGAAGCCTCTCACCAGCCCTGAGCCTCTGGCCTGTACCCCAGTTCTGTATGTACAAATAAATAAATCTTTAAAAAAAAAAAAGTAAATGAGTTAGGTAATGGTTCACATACAAGCAGAAAGTTTTATCTCTACCTCACATCATTCACAAACAATAAATTGAGCTAAACATAAACAGAAAACAAATTGCAATCACATTAAAAGAAAAACAAGAGCAAGAAGAGAGGAGGGAAAAAAACAGAAAAATAGGAGGGTCTGCTTATAATCCTAGGAAAAGAAAAAGCCTTCTTTAACACGACATTAAAAAGTAGAAGCTACATTAAAAAGTAAAAAGTAAAAGCTTCATCAAACAATAAAATCTTCTAGAATATAAAACTTTAGAGACAAGACTCTTAACTAGGAGATATATTTGCAGCATATAGAAAAAATTATTAGAATTCAAACAAAAAAAAAGAAATTTGCCTAAAACTAGGTAAAAGACACAACCCAAAGGGTGGAGAACTCAGCAAATTCATCTACAAAGAAATCAAAAGCATGACAATTACACCTGAAATAGAAAAAGGCACAAAATGATGTAAAAATAAACTATTTTTTAAAAAAATAAAGACATCATTTCATCCAAAAAAAAAAAAAAAGGTATTACAATTGTGGTGAAATTCACTAGCAATTTAGGAAACAGAATGACAATTTTTTCAATTAAAACATTAGTGTTTAAGCTATATACCAGAGACATTTTATGGAGGTAGAATGGGGAATGGGATGAAAAACAGTGGGAGGGGAGGGAAATGCACTGGACTATGGTGATGGCACAGGGGTGATTTGGTGATGGGAAGCCCATGGGAATAACAACCAAGATAGAAAAAGGTAAAAAATGATATAAAAATAAATTATTATGTTATTTTTTTAAAAATGAGGGGATAGAATTAAATTAAAAAAAACTGGTGTTTAACATATCAAAATAAACATGCACGTGAGCAGTAACAGGTAATTAATATTGGGAAAACTAACTGCTACAAGCACTAGAGAGGGAATCTGAGCATATAAATTATCTGTATCTTAACATTCAACAATCCTATTTCCTACATTTTCACCCAAAAGAAAGTCATCTACACACAAAAGAGCATGAACAAAGATAGTCACTAGAGCAATGAAAAACTTAGTCACAACTTAAATACCAAAGGGAAACAGCTAAATAAACCAAGATGCATTTATATTATGGCTACAATTAAAAGAAATAACTTTGTATGTAATACATTATTTAAATATAACATACAAATATACATAGTAATATGGAAAGTTTCTAAAACCTACTGCTGATCAAAAACTCAAAACAATCTATGTAGAATTAAATAAGAAAAAGCTGATATGTAATGAATACATATATATAAGTATATATAAGTAAATTCACATGAAGACTTGTTAAGGTAGTATGAAAGTAGCTCTGGTGAGACAGAGGAGGCAAAACTGAGAGGCTTTTTCTAGGGGTCCTGATTAAATTTTCATGATGCGAATCTATTCTTATATTACTTGTATCAGTATCATTAATATGACTGCTATCTATGTATATGCATATTCTGATTATAGATGAGCTTGGAAGTATTGTGTGAGGAATTTCTTTCCACGGACACAGGTATGGTTGCTCTGTCTATGGAAAAGGATTGCTAGAACAGTTTGAGAAGCTCTTAACTACCTGTGGCCTAGAATACAACAGTAACTTGCAGCCAGTATCAATGCCTTTTAGGTCTCTTCCCATCTTTCCTTAAAAGCTTTTTGAGTACCTCTCAATTCAAGTTGCTCTTGATGCTGTTGTTTTATTTTCTTCAGAGCAATCATCACTATTCTGAACTATTTAATCATTTATTGTCTATTTCCCACTAGAATGGGAATGGCAAGACAATTTTGAATTCATATGATTTTAGTCAAGCCATTTAGAATTCTCTTACAGTATCAAAGACATATTTCATTTACTTACCTTAGTTGGAAAAGGAAATTTGGAAGGTTCTGTTTTGCATGGTGTATGAATAGCCGTTAGAGGGGGAGGCCATGAATGCGTCATCTCCTGAAATGTAATTATTACAGTTTGTTTTCAACCAGATCAAGGATAAAAGTTATACAGCTAAAAACCAGATTTATGTTATAAATACTGGTTTCATGATTGCTCCTTCAAAAGTATACGGATTTAATCAATAAATATTAATTAAGCACAAATGAGTGCAAGGTACTATGGGACAAATAGTAGGAAGATAAATAATATACACTTCCTGGCTTCAAGGAGCTTACAGTTAAGATTTTGAGACTCCTGAATAAAGGCAACAAAATTACAAATATCAGCCTGTAATCAAATACAAGGCACATAGTAAAATACTGAGGAAGAGCTTGCTGTGGGCGTGAGGGGAGGGGGATAATAAGGAAAGCAGCTAACATTTATTGTGTACCTTTCATGGGCCAGACACTGTGCTATGTTTAACATGTCTGTTACTCTTTTAATACTCACAATGACATTATGAGGTAGACACCATTATTATCCTAACACTAAGTAGGATGAAACTGAAGCACAGAAGTTAAGTTTCTTATGTAAGGTGGCATACTTGGCAAGTAATTGACAACTACTTCTCATTCAGAAGTCTATTTTCTCGGAGCCCATTCACTGGATAGGACATTCTAGTTAGGTGGAGGAAATCAGAGGAGAAATATATATACATGTAAAAAAAAAAATCCCTGAGGAGAAGACAGATAAGCAAGGCCAAGTCTGATTTCATTCATTTCATTCAATGCCTTCTGTCTAATATGTCAAGTATGTCCAAGTGGAGGCCTGGATAAAATTGTAATGTACATGTATATTAGAGGAGCAGTAGAAACAGAGGTATCAGGCTCAGAACAAGGACAGATTATTTTATTTCTGGCATGGAGTTCAAAGAAAACTATCAGGTAGATTGACAAAATATTTTTTAAAAATTAAAGGTGGTATAACTCTTAGAAATTTACCCTACAGTTATAAAGATACATGTTTAAGGGGGGCTCATACTTAAAAAATGGCAACAACCTATGTCTCCAATAACACAGGAGTAATTAAATTACAGCCACACAATGGAACACCAAGCAGACAAGTAATATGAGAAATTCCTGGTATGAAATGATGTCCATAGTATATAGTTAAATGACAACAGAAATCATCGTCTATGTCCTAGCCAATGTTTACATATGAAAAAAATCTCTGGGAGATAATTAACAGAGGCGACCTTTGGACAACAGAATGACAGAGGGGAAGAGAAAGAAGGCACCTAATACAGTCTCTACTGCTCGAACCCTTTAAAATAGCCACTTGCACCAGTAGCACTAGACTATTCTTTATCCTCTTATAATATTTTATTTTTAAATAACATTTCACTTCCTGAAATGCTAAGTTGATTATTTCCTTCACTCTGCTCTAAGAGCAGTTCCAAGAGTACTACTATCAGTATACCACCATATCCGCAGTTTTTGATATACAACAGGTGCTCAATTATGTCTTGAATTAATAATTTTTTTAATAAAAATATTGTTTTCAGATTAATATCTGGAAAACATGGAAGGAATGCAGACCTGAAGTTCCTTGTGCACTGTACAGAGGGAAGGGGGAGGAAACAGAAACTCATTTCACTTCTTGAAATATTTTCAGAAAGGTTTTCAGTAAGGTGATACTTTTATCTTAAATATCAAAATACTCTCAACAACAACAAAAAATCTATTTAATTCTCCATCAAGTAACTGAGCACCTATTACTCCCGTGGCCATGTGCCACACTCTATATACATAAAACGTGCAATCAATGTAACATCAAAGACATAAATAAATGAAAAATCCATGGTTTTTTCCAGATAGTAAGGTGTCATGCATTTTTGTGGACTCAGGGAAAAGATATATACTCCCTTATACTTTTCATTTACATGGTAACTGAAAAATGAATGCTGTATGAAATTTAAAGGAAAAGAGTTACTACTGTAGTTGATGTTTTGATAAAAAATATCTGATATACTAAGAAAAAAATATATAACTGAAGAGGAAAGAGAAAGGGAGTCTACCAAAGGTACTTTAAAGAGGATAAAAGAACAATAGAGCATATGCTTAGAGAGACCAGTTTAGCAAAAGTGATCAGTCACTGATAGGAGAGATAGGGACTGGTCCTGATAGGTCTGGAATGTAAAATGTAGACAGTATTCTTTTGTGGAACCTTAGAGTCACTAAACATTTCTATAAGGAAATTAACTTATGAAAACAAGGGATTGAAGTGCAGAATCTGGCAGCAATACAGAAGGCAAAGGAATAAGGAGACTCGAGAGGCAGATGGACTCATTACACATTCACTACAGTTTAAGGTGGAAAAAAGAAGTAACAGACAATTTTGAAAGTGTACATACAGTTTTATGATTAGCTGGAACACAGGAGAGAGAAATGAGAGACAATTAGTATTCTATACTTTCAAGCACAAAAGACTGGTGATACTGCAAAGAGAAGCAAGTCTGTTAACTATGACATTAGATATCTGAGTGTCAAGAATGGAGAAATCCAGAAACCCAGTAAAGAAGCAATTGAGAGCAAAGGAGACCACAGCAGGCAAAACTGAATATTTCTAATAGTAATAAAGATGTGAGAATGAAGGAGAAGGCAAGTTAAGGAGAAGAAAGAAAAGAGAAGAGCCTAGGAAATGCATATAGATTAAAGAGGTAAGAGAAGATACAAAGGTTCCCAAAAGTCAGAGGAGAGACAGAGAAGACAGATGGGAAATTAAAACAATGAAGCATTACAGTTAAGGAATGAAGAATGTTGTTTCCAGAAGAGAAAAACAAAAATCCCTTAAAACAGAAAGGGATCTCAAATGAAGCCTCCAGATGAAGATGATAATAACCTTAAAAAAAAAAAGGTCCAGCAGAGTGGTAGAGCTAAAAAGACTGTAGTGGGCTAAAAGAAGGAACGGGAAGCAGCCAATGTGAGTAGCCTTCCAAGAGTATCCAGAGTGAAATGTAGGTATAGACACAAAATCCTGGGAGCTCACAAAAAAGTACATTCACTGTCACTTATTAATTCACTGGAGTCTCTCTTTTTCCAACAGACAACTGTTTCTTTTTCCAATAGAGAAATGTGCTTTTTGGTCATGTGTTGGTTTTAAACATATCCCATTAGACATTCAAAATGCAAAGTATTCAGACACTTTTCATTATAGGATTGTAATAGTATATACTGATGTATTTACTTTTGTAGCAAGTTATTTTCATTGTGAAGGACTGATAACTTCGATTTTTTTTTAGCATTTAAAGTATTAATTGATAAACCAAAGAGTATAATTATATTTGGTTTCTCCCTCTTTTCAAGGCAAACTGTTAGAGTTTTTGTTTTACTTAAAAACAAAAGCAAGCAAAAATTTAAAAAAAAAACACTCTTTAGGACAAATAGTAACAAAAGTGATTCAGAACCTAATTAAAAAAATACAATGGTATAAGTCAGCTATTTTTGAAGGACATAACCAAGTTACAATTGTTAAGCAATCTGCTGCTTCAGAGCCTTTATGAAATAAAGATGGAAAGAGACTAAATGGGCAGCAGATCATATAGTTACATTAGAAACTGAAACAATAAAAAAATTAACTTACTTTAAGAATTTCATCTACACAGCTTACATCACCAGAAGCAGATGCCTTAATAAAAAGAGGAAAAGAAATGCATTAGATTTGGAGTAACTTATTAAATTTTAGTCATCTGCCATATGAAGTTGACATTACTAGAAATGAAATAAAATTTGAAGTATATATGATCATATCTCTCTAAAACTCAAAATTTTAAACTAATTTCCTTAAATGCAAATACTTCAAACTCTTAAATATTTATACACACTTTCTGATTGAAGAATTTCATACTTTTCAAGTTTTAAAAGACTATTATTCTTATACCTAAACCAGAAATATTTTTTAAAAAAGTATAATTTCTCATGTTTAAGTTTACTTATTTAAAATATAGCAAAATGTTCAAGTTTACTTATATAAAATATAGCAGAATACAGAGATATATCATTTCACATCAAATTACAGACAGAACAAAAGTAATATTCTGAGAGATTACATGCTTGGAACATTTTATATGATCTTTTTTTATTTTATTTTTATTTAAAAAGATTTAATTTACTTATTTATGCACACAGAACTGGAGTGCAGGCCAGAGGTACAGGGGTGGTGAAGGAATTCACCAGAGACTGAATAGGGAGCAGAATAGCAGAGTAGGGAGCAGAATAAGTACACTGCTGAGAGGAGCAGCGGGCATGTCAGGAGAAGTCTGCTGAGCCATGTGGGTCACCTCCGTGGCTGGGATGGAATTCGTGCTGAGGCAGCTTCAGCTAGCTTCAGAGTGCTGCGTTTTAACCCATTGCATCACCAGGGAGGGCCCTATATCATCTTTTCTAAATCACAGAAGTTGTTTATTGCAAAGCACAGTAAGAATTAGAAAGCTGGAGTTTGAATTCAAGCCTACCTCTAAGAATCCTGTTGTTTGAAGAAAGAACAAAATTACCACCTTACTGTTCTCTTGAGAAGAGTAATTAGATGACATATACCAGGAACAATCAGTTTGCCAAGACCGCAAGGAAGGTTTTTAAAAACTCTCAAAATCATATGTTCACCATCCTCACTCCTCCCTGCCATGTCACAATAAACATGCACGTCTTTGGTTATTCTGAGTATCATGTTTAGCAGACAGATAGAAATACTCTAATAAATTTCAACCCACTAATGTGAACCAGGGCAGCCTGCTCTCAAACCTTTAAGCATAAAGAAAAGGTTATGGCATCCAAATCATACAATATCACCTGAAGTGGAAAAGTTCCAACATTTACCCCAATCACAGGCCACATCTCATTCACTCATTCATGACTATCACTTGTCGGGGACAGAAACCAGGACTTTGCCTCGAGTGCACAAAACAACACTTGATTGGAACTTAGAGTAAACATCCTGGTTGAGAATGCAGCACACCTGAATCCCTTCCCCCACTCCTTCCTTTCCCGCTCAGCAAGCTTTGGCGCCAAAGAGACAAAGAGATGACGATGGATCCCTCCCCTCAAACCCATTGGCCTTTAAGACATTAGACCACCAGACCACCCCCCGCCCGTACCTTCTGTGCCGCCCTCAAGTATATATACATGGCTGTTGTAAAAATAAAGGCTGGCTCTCTCACTCTCGCACGCGTCTCTGTCTTTGCCTTCTTCCTCGTGCTGTCCCTGGGGCTCTACCCCCTCACCATGCGGGTCAAGGCCCGCCACAAGGTCAAGGCTCTGCCTTCTCCTCTCGTCGACCCTGGGACCCCAATCCTCGGCCTTGCTGGACAAGGCCTTCCACAATCACTAAGAGAATAAAAGTTAATTTTTTAAAAATAAAACACAAGATGTATTATTCAGTAAGAAGGAAGAAGTCTAAAGAACTGATAAATGTTTTATTCTATCACTTTAATATTTTAAAAACAGTGAACGACATTTTCTTTCATATCCTAAAAGGGAAGCTAACAAGGATCCACCTGAAAAACAATCTTAAGTCTTTCTTTAAACTTTCATATTCCTTACATTCCTTAAGACAAAGACACAGTTTAAGTTCAGTCATAGAAAACTGCTTCACACAGTCACAATGTTAAAAGCTGTAAATGTATTACTTACATCCAGTGGTTGGGAAGGTATTTTCAACTTGGTGAGATGTGCTTTGCTGCTGGGTTTCAGTTCGGTCATGCTGTTGCCATGGGGTTGACTGCTGTAGTGCTCAGAGGACAGCTTTGGTTCCATGGACTCCTGTCCGTCCATGGGCCGCACATAGGCAGTGGGTTTCTGTAACATTGAACTTGACTTTGACATCAACGAAGGTGGGAAAGACTGATTTGAGTGCTGCCCACTTGAAAAAGGTACACGGGAAGGAGAATCCCAGTTTGCATCAGGATCCCGAGGAGATTTGGAACGCTGATGTTCCTTGCTATGGTGATCATTCCCATGAGATCTGGAATGACTGGAGCTTAATGAAGAAACAGCCTGGGGTTTTCCAGGACTGGAAGAGCGTGATTTGGAGTGTTCTGATCCATGCTGGCCTTTTTTCCGGCTACTGCTGCCACTACTACTGTATGAGTCACGGTCATGCCTCTGACCGCTACTATTAGTGCCACCACTGCCACCTGCACTGGTCCGCTGGCTACTATGTCCACTCTGTAAGCCCGAGGACCGTTTCTGAGACTGAGAAGTGCTGGGTGCGGGTCCTACTGGAGTCCATTTACTACTCTGATGAGAGCTCCCATGTCTCTGTTCAAAGAAATTTGGGTTAGATTTTTCATCTGCTGTCGGTGGTACTGTAGGCTTGGGAATTGCAACAAGCTTTGGTATAGATCTGTCTCCTATGAAATCCTTCATTTCATCGTAGTTTCCAAGCATACTCTGAATACGACTTGATAGCTTATCTTCTTTGCTAGTCTACAAAAGAAGTAAAATATAATTATACAAATAGATAACTGAAGATAAAAATTATTCTAAACTAACTTTCCAAACTTAAAAAAGAGGTGTCATCTCATATCTTAAGGTTAGCATCTCAAACTCCGAATACATAAGTTTTATAGTAAAAATAAAAAAAAATTCAGTGAAAAAGAAGATTCATGCTGAAATGCAAATGTTTATGACATTGAAAAATAGATACAATGGATTCCTAGAGGGGAAAAAAATCTGAATTCCACCAATAAAATGATCTGAATAGCTTTAAAGCATAAGTATTAGGGTTTGTGACGGTCAAAATTCAGTCTATATATTCATTGAAGCATAAAGTACAAAGCCAAGGTATGCAAGTCACCAAAGTGCCCATTGAGGGACAAATAAAGAATATGTGACATGAAAAAAATAAATCAGAACAGCAGTGAAAAGTTTTTGGAGTGCAGAAAAGTAACCTACACTTATATAAATTCTAGGTCAGCAGATTAGCTATCACTCGTATTTTGATAGTCTAGGAAAACATATTCCTTATAATGCAATCAGAGGCAGAAACAGAAATTTAGTGAAATAAGTTATGCCAAACTGACTTTTTAAAAATTTTAACTCCTTCTGTACCTGTGAGTCAAGTTAATAAAAATAAATCCACAATAAGCACAGAAAATCCACTGATAATTTAAAATTCTAGGTATTTACTCTGACCAATAAAATGTTGCAACTCTTGAATACAATGGTATATATACTTTGTTTTAAGAATTATTCTTAGATAACAAAAAAGTCTAAGATACCCACAAGCGTTAGGAATCTTTCATATCCATATACAAGAAGAAAGCACGTTTACTCATTACATTAAAACAACATCAAGGCTGAATCACTATTCTGAATTACCATGAATCAATAATGACTACATATTATCTGAAAATCATTCTGGTCCTTATTAAACAAAAGTAAATATTCAGTAATTTATAGGTGACATCAAATACAATTAAAATGCACAAAAAAGGTGTATGATTTGAAGATTCTGGACCATATTCCTATATTTTTCAACATGGCTTTTAATCCCAAAAGCTAGGTTTTCTGTTACACTAATACAAATGGTATTAGTATCACTGAATTTGAATGGGAAAAGCTCTGAGTAAATGACTTCTGTAGACCTTTCAAATCACTTCTACAAATATCAAATCTATAAAGGTAAATCTAGAATATGTTCTTAAGCTTTAGACACACTCAATCTCATATTATAAACCAACAAAGGTTGTTACTACTATAATACATAGCACCATATACAGTATAAAACTTTAAAATCCCAAGTCAAATCAAATATTTCAGAGACTTCTGTGGCCACTATAGAAACATTGATCACTGGTCCTATTTAGTGTTTGGTTATTCCATGAAAGCCCAATGGGAATTTTAAAAACAACAAATGGTTCACTTTATTGAACACCTGATATCAGGCTTTAATTGAAACCTGATATTGTTAATTCAAGAATAAATACATTGGAAGGAAAATCAGAGAATTTAGTGTAACAGAAAAAGTACTAGACTGATACTAAAGAGATACACGCAAAAAGAGTCACTGAAACTCTCTTCTAATATAAAAATTCAAGTTTAAATATTTTAAAAACAAAAACGTCACATTATTGGAAAGAAACATTCAAAGGACAACTTACAACTTTGTAAGGCTCAGCAAAGAGAGGAGAGCTGGGTGGGAAGGCGTCTTCACCCTGCTGAATTTCCTGATTCCGCCTTTCCCGTTCTTTCATACGCAGCACATTCCGATCTTCACGGTTCATGTTGCTATGAAGAGAAACATAATCTTTACACTCAAAAAGAAAAGGAAAATTACATTTTCCATACTGACTGTGTCAGTTTAATCTTTTAATCATAGAATCCCTTGTGACTTTCAAACAGTAACAGGCATTAGGGTTGAAACTGGGTTTTGGTAATGGTTTTATCAACTAATACCATCAGTGTCTTCCACAACTATCCAGAAAGACTATCCAACTGTCCAACACTATTCCAGAATATTAGGATACAACCCATTTCAACACTTAACCTTATCAATTTTTAAAGCACTCTGCTAGCTAAAATTCAGCTTAAACTTATGTTATTCATTAGGAAGGTAGTTCTTAAACCCAAATCCTTAATTCTCCTGTAAGCCTTTCTGGCTTCCTCTTCATAAACCTAACTATTCTTTGCCATCAGAGGGGTACAACCCACTCCCACCTACCACCCCCCACCCACCGGGTCCAGTGCTTTTCTCTACTGTGCATCTACCTTATCTTGATTTCTTTTTGTCCCAAACACAGCTTCCTTGGTGTCCATCCTTAGGGCAGTTTGACCTCAGCTTTGCTGTTGTTCTAGATTCCCTAAAAAACGACATTTCTGCTCTAAATACATTGATAGTTCAATTAACACCTCAATAAATGGCAAAGTGAGGTTTTCAGCAATAGAATCTAAAATTAACTAGTGTTAGTATAGTAGTCGGAACTATATTGAAAAAAAAGGAAAGGTTTATGGGGTAGAGGAAAAAATGAGGGTACGATTTCTATACTTTTGATAGTATATTTTCACTAAGAGCAAGCCAAGTAAAATAGCTCATTTATAGCCGCAGGAATTTTGGTTAAATGGATAACAATGAAAGGGTTTTCAAAACGTGGGACAATGGATTACCAGGGACTCTGTAAAACTCTTCCCTGATAGGTTAAACCATATGCCCTGGCTTTCTTTAAAAAAAAAAGAAAAGAAAAGAAATTTTTGAGGTCAGAGAGAAAAATCACGTAATATTTGGGAAGCATCTCTAATCTTGGGATCATAAATCAAATTCATCAGAAAATTACAGTCATTCTATATCAGAGGCAACTATAATTATAAATTAGAATGGAGAGTAAAACCAATAGACTTTTGAGGACTTTTAAAATAAAACAACACAATCAATCAAAGACAAAATTTCTTGATTTGCACAGTTTAGTATCATGCAAATGAAACAAAGGTTTGGAAAAGTATTTTAAATATCAATATGTATTCAAGTTGTCTCTTATTTATACAACTTTCTAATAAACTTAGTCAAGAATACAAGCTACTTTTGAAGTTTGGAAATATAGGGTGTGCTTTCTTTGGTCTCCCTAGTGCTTAGCATCACACAAAACCACAAAAAAATACCTGAATTGCTCTTAAATTAATGCCATAGAACATCTACATTTAAAAATTGAGAGAATAAAACCTAAGAACATATATTCTTCTCCACTGTACTCAAACCAGCTAATAATTGTGGCACTAACAGTTAGTTCCAGACAGACCTCTTAGAGTCTAAGAGGCATATTAAATATCAACTTTCTTGAATTTTCTAAATTCAATTTCTCAAAGGTCAAAAAGATATCTCTCTTTAAACTAAGACTCAGGGCTCCCCTGGTGGCACAAAAGGATAAAGCGCAGCACTACAAAGCCAGCCACAGCCACTGAGGCAAGAGTTTGATCCCAGGCTAGGAGGTGGCCCACATGTGCAGCAGACCTCTGTTGTTTCACCTGCTGCTCCCCTCCGCAGTTTGAGTTAGTCGATCTGCCTGTTCTGTCTCCCACTCTGTCTTTGGTGAATCCTATCACACCTCACACTTCTGGCCTATACCCCAGTTCGTGTATTTAACTGCACTAAAATAGTCATGCAAGAAAGCTGTACATTTTTTGCAAAAAGATGATTCCCACAGTTCCTAATATAATTCAGTAACAAAAATTGTTTTCTTTTTTTAAACAATGAAAATCACATACTATGTATTTCATTTTAGAGACTAAATTGATTACTTCTATGAACTAATACCCCAGTTAATAGCTTATATTCTAATTTCTTTCAGATCTGACTTATTCTCAAATGTACTTCATCAGCTTCATTTCTTTCCTGTGTCTGAGATTAGTATCTTTATCTAAAAGGTTGCCCCCAAAGAAGAAATTCTAGCTATCTGAACATCACTAAAATTAATATGAAATTTAAATGAGTCCATCTGAAATTATGTCATTACTGACAAAACTATTTAATAGCATATCTCTCTGGATATTTACAGCTATAGTATAGACATAGAATTCGGCTACAATTAGCAAACTTGCTACACCACAACAAAAGTTGTGTGCTAGTAGTGATAATTTTTAAAAGAAAACTAAAGGAAGGAGGGTTTTCTATCAAAAATTTGTAACTAAGGTAAATTATTTTAAATATCTCAAGTATTTGTTAACTTATAAACAATTATAAACAACATTCAATGAACAAAAAAATGGAACGATATCTTTACTTAGTAAGGCTGTATCTGGTAGTAATAATGATACAGCAATAATTTCATTGCTATAGTATTAAGCAAATGAGTAGATATAATAAAATTTGGGGGGAACCAGGAATCTTACCACAAGAGAACTTAAATACAAATAGGAATATGGAGAAAACGATGTCAAAAAAAAGAAGCCTGTGGAAGTTAGAAATTAGTAGTACTACTATGAACTCATATATAGGAGCTACATATTATAATGTGTATAATGTATATATATGTGTGTGTGTGTATATGTGTGTGTATATATGCAAGTGTGTATTTGCGTGTGAATGACGCATGGTGTATAGTTTCATCCACTGAAAAAAGTCAGAAATGACATCCTAGTAGAAATAAGCACCTTCAGCAACCAAATTTTTCTTTCTACTATTATTCCCCACGAAAATGAAATAGGGCTTTTGGGATAAATAGTTACTAATACCAAGGTAGATGCAGCAAAAGTACAAGTGAATCTAAAACATATTTTAACAATATGAAAATTCTTTTAAAAAATGGAGCCATATTGAGGGCCCTCCCTGGTGGTGCAGCAGGTTAAAGCACAGCACTAAGAAGCTAAAGTCACTTCCTCATGAGTTCGATTCCTGCCTGCCCCCGGAGGTGACCACATGGTGTGGCAGACCTCTCCTGACCCGCCTCAGTAGTGTACTTCCTCAATCTGTCTGTTCTGCTCCCTGCTCTGTCTATGGTGAAGCCTCTCACCGCCCATGAGCCTCTGGCCTGTATCCCAGTTCTGTATGCACAAATAAATTTATAGAAAAAAAAATTGAGCCATATCGGGCCCTCCCTGACTGAGCAACAGGTTGAAAGTGCAGCACTGCAGAAGCTATCAGCAGCCACTTCAGCACGAGTTCAATTACCGGCCAGGGAGCTGACACACATGGCACAGCCAGACCTCTCCTGTCTCACTTGCTGCTCCCTTCGCAGTATGTTTCAGTCAATCTGTCTGTTCTGCTGCCCCCTCTGTCTCTGGTGAATCCTCTCACCTCCCACACCACTGGCCTGTACCTCAGTTCTTGTATGCATAAAAAAATAAATCTTAGGGGAAAAAATGGACCTATATCAAAGGGCATAAGACAATATATTACAATGAACAAAGACTAGAATGGAACGTAACCAAGGGAATGAAAAAATAATCCCTCAGTTTTGGTGATAATAACAAAAAATAAAATAAAATAATAATACAGTACAAAGAAAATTACAAAACATTGTTAAAAGAAATGCAAGAAGACACCATAAAATGGAAAAACATCCCCTGCTCACAAATTGGCAGAATCAACATCATCAAAATGTCCATCCTACCAAAAGCAAAATACAGATTTAACGCCATCCCAATAAAAGTCTCAATGACATTCTACAAAGAAATAGAAAAAATATTGATGAGATTCATATGGAACAACAAAAGACCTCAAATATCCAAAACTCTCATGACTAGGAAGAGAATGTAGGCATTACAATCCCAAACTTCAAGCTATACTACAAAGCCATAATAATCAAAACTGCATGGTACTGAAACAAGAACAGACATACAGACCAGTGGATTCAGATAGAAAACCCAGATATAAACCCACAGGTTTATGGACAGCTAATATTTGACAAAGGAGCAAAGAAGAAAATGGTGCTGGGAAAACTGGGAAGCTGCAGGCAAAAAACAAGAAACTAGATCACTACCTCTCACCATACACAAAAATCAACTCGAAGTGGATTAAAGACCTAGACATAAGAACGGAAACCATAAAATACCTGGAAGCAAAAATGGGCCAAACACTACGTGACATACACTTCAGCGACATCTTTGAAGATAGAGCACCCAATGCAATGCTAGTAAAGGCAAGGGTAAATAGATGGGACTACATTAAGTTAAAGAGCTTCTGTACAACAAAAGAGACATTACAAAAAACAAACAGACATCCCACTGATTGGGAAAAAAATTTCTCACACAAAACTAGCGATAAAGAACTGATCACAAAAATATACGGAGAACTGATGAAACTCAACAAAAATAAGCAACCCCATCAAATAATGGGCAGAAGAGCTAAAAAGACACTTCTCAAAGAGGAAAAGCAGAGGGCCAACAAGCATATGAAAAAATGTTCAACATCACTCGTAATAAGGGAGATGCAAATTAAAACCACAATGAGATACCACCTCACCCCAGTGAGAATGGCACATCTTCAAACAACTAGCAACAACAAATGTTGGCAAGGATGTGGAGAAAAAGGAACTCTCCTGCACTGCTGGTGGGAATGCAAACTAGTATAACCACTATGGAAAACTGGAGGTCCCTCAAACTGTTAAACATGGAGCTTCCCTACGACCCAACAATCCCACTCCTAGGTTTCTACCCAAAAGACACAAAAACACTAATTCAAAATGACACCTGCACCCCCATGTTTATTGCTGCTTTAGTCACAATTAGAAAGACATGGAAACAGCCCAAATGCCCAAAAGTAGATGTGGTACATATACACGATGGAATATTAATCATCA